ATTCTGTAAAACAGAAAAGCAAAATATTTTGAAAAGAAATGCTAGTGGATGTATATTAGAGGAAAAAAAAAGCTACTTAGGCATCTTCTAAAACAGAGGCTGTAAAACATACATGGCTCTCTTTACCTTCATTCTAATTGATCTGAGATCCAATTTATCTTTAGATAGTAAGAAAGGTAAAGAATAGAATAGTGGAAACCAAAATCTTGGGAGTGTACATTTTCCCACCCTCCCACATTAAGAGTAGGAGGAAATGATGTACCAAAGAACTCAAAGACCAACTTCAGAGAGAAAGAGACAGGGCATGAGTTCAAGCAGCACCATGAAAGGCATGTGATGCAAAAGTTGGAAGTGTAGGGTGGTGGTCACCAAGAGCAGAAGATGTAACAACAAAGACCAAAGAGACATCACACAGGACATTATATCAAGTTACTTAGAGAATTCTGGTGACATTTTGTGTGCAGTGTCCACAGTGAGAAGAGTAAGAACCTAAGTCTGCCACCAAGCTAGACAAGGGAAAGAGGATTGTCAATGACACGTAAGCGGAATCCATTGCCAACTACCTGATTGAGAAGTTGGAATGTAAAAGAAAAAAGAAAAACAAGACATTTGCCAGCATTGGCAGTACAGATCAGTGAAGATGGTCTTTATTTCTGCCTGTAGGCACAGAAGAAGAAAGAACTGGTGGAGAAATAAAGATTAAGGGATAACATTAGTACTGCAACAATATATTCACTGAAACTGAATGGATTTCAGTGCTCAGCATGTAATAGCACCTACTTTGTAGCACTATCATTATGAAGAGTGAGATGGGAATCTACCAGTCCCCTCAAATTAAAGCTCCAAATGACCCTGCAATATCCACATAACTGTTCTGTAGGTGAGAATACTAAGCATTGTCAAATCAGTCATGAGAATAATGGGATTAAGTAAGCAGTTGAAAGTTTTAGCCTTTTTCTCAGATATGAGGAAAATAATGTGAAATTAAACATTTAAAAAATTAAAATTGGAGCAGGAAAGTAATTAGGGTAAATAAAAATATATGTGGAGCCAAGATTCTTAAAATACTAAAGCTGACAAATGCCAAGAAGAAACTCATAGGACGCTGACATCATACCAATGAAAAATCAAGGTGAAGAGAAAGATGGGCTGGTTGAAGAACCACCATCATGCTGAAGATATGGGATGATGAAATTGGCCCTGTCAGGCTGACAGACATCATAAGCAGGGGCTCATTGCTCAGTGCCTGCTTCAGCCAATTTGCTGTTTTAAAATCCTGTTGTCATCGCATTTGTATTGTTAGGAAATCATGTGTCACCAAAAATGAGGAATACAGGAACACGCTAATGTAACCTCAACAAGACTACTGCCCAAGGCCTCTGAAGTCTTTTAAAAAATAAAACAGAACCACTCAAGCATGGGAGATACAAAGTCCAGTATTTTAAAATCAGTTACAGCTACTTCCTATTAGAAATTACCAAATTCCATTAAAAGTCATTCTAGCAACATTTCCTTTAAGAATCAACTTATTTTAAAGCCTACAAAATGAATATTAAATCAAAATAGCTATTGATTCCTCAGGAGGGTTGCCCAAGTAATTGACTTTATATTTAAATAAATTTAAGATTGATGAGGAAACTCCAATAGGAAAAGTATTCTGGCTTTATTTCTATTTCAGAGCTAAACTCCACATCTTAGAACTGACCCACCCAAATCAGGCTTTTCTGAGGTTCTGGGAAGGGGGGAAGGGGGGGGTCCCTTACACGTGTAGTTTGTGCAGATGGGCAATGCAATACTAGTTAATTACCAACCGTAAAATATTACCATTTGGTTTATCTCTGCTAGATCTTGTGACTACCATACATTTTATTTCGGTGGGAATACTTCCTTTCCGTCATATTCAGGCATGTGTGCATACACACATACAGAGGTCAGGGCTACATTTTATTTCCCGCTTGTTGGATGGATGGACAAGAGGCCCAAAACCCGTTGGATTTGAAAGGCATGCTGTTTATCACCGTCTCAGTGATCAAGGTAGAAAAGCTGTTTCTGTATCATACAACAGCTTTGGATAACTGATAAGCCTTAGAAGAGGAGTAAAGCCACCAGCCCCCCAGGGTTGGGATGCTCAGAGGGGGGCTGCTGCAGAGAATGTTTCAGCACGTCGGCCAGCTCCCACCCAATCAACGGGGCGCTCCGAAAAGACGGGGGCTTTGCCGCAGAGACTGCTTCAGTACCTCGGACAGCTCCCGCCCAAGCCGTGAGATGCTCCCCAACTGCTGAAATCCGTTGTTTTAAAAGGTCGCAGCCAACATACAAAGAATAATACGTAATGCGTCCCTAATTAGCTGCACGTCTTCTGGTTTATATTTGAGTAGCAAAATGATTGCTCTAATCTAAATTCTTTAATCTTGACAAGAGCTGGTATCAGAAAAGCAGTTTTTATTTACATCTACTATCTTTTTAAACTGGTATCTCTTAAATAAAATGCAGCTGTTGTTCCTGAAGGAAAAGTGATTTAAGACGTACATCTATCTTTTGTAAATTTTTAGACATAACTTTTCCGGTTTTGAATAGCTATTTCTGAGAAAAGCGCACAAAAGTTTTCAAGAAGTTGATGCCACATTTAGCTCTGTCACTGATGTCATCAGACATTTTAAATACATGTATATTTATATGTATTTCATAAGGACACACTATATGCATGGACATTATGTTTATACTCATGCCTACATATCACACACACACACACTCACTCTCTCTCTCTTTCTCTCTCTTCTGAATTTTCCAGGAAAAAAAAAAAAACACTGATGTCAGGGCTTTCTGAATTGAAGGCAGATGCACTGTTCAGAGCCACATCAACAGATGTGTTCCTCAGTTCAACCCTTTTGCTTATCTGAGAAACAGTTCTAGGCATATATCAAATCAAGAAGAAGGAGCTGGAACTATATGCTCCAAACTAAGATGGAAGAAAGAGAGAAATGGGCGGAGATCATCAGAAACAAAATTCAGAAACCACTGCCTTTTCTTTCTCCTAGCGACACCTAGAGCCTATGATATGGAAACTGCAATGTTCTCTAGCGCATAACACAAATCGACAGTTTTAAGTCAGACTTAAGGCAAAAAGTGCATAATTTCTGTCTGCATTGCAGTTCAATTGTCTTCCCCAAGATTCTCAATAGTTTAATCCTCTAGAATTTTTCACCAGCCCCAATAAAACCCCTCCTTCAAAGACTTCCAGTTCCTTGAACCAGATGTCTAAAGAATCCACACATTTCCCTTAGGACCTGACCCACTGAAGTGAGGGACATCTCTCCGCTCGCTATCTGTGTAACCAAGGGAGTCTGGAAACGATCCAAAAGAAAACAAGAAAATTTCATGCAAGATCTGATACAGGCGGTGGGGGGAGTGAATGAGTGAGTGAGTGAGTGAGTGAGTGAGTGAGTGTGTATACAAACAAACTGCACTCCTTACAAACTTTTATCATCCATGTCAGTCTTGGCATTCTCCATTCATTAAAAAGAAAAATAAAAAAAAATGTCCAGTAACAACAAAACCTCAGTGGCTTTTTTCCGAATTGTCCCTGTGAAGGTTGTCAACACTTCCCCCCCCCCCCCAACCTTGCACTATTAAAGAAAAACCAAATGGTGAAGTAGTGTGACCTGAGGCAAGGCATGTTTGAATGACCACAACTGCCTGCTCAGTGCAGGGGCATGTACTGCCCTGGGCATGTCAGGGTAGGCTATCTGAGAGGAGCTTGTGTGAGGATCCAGGTGCCCCCAGGTGGGAAATTCCTCATAGGTACCTGCAATGGGTTCTATAACCCAACACGCCCTGCATATCTCTTGAGGCTAGAGCAGCCATGCCACCTCTGCTGCCAGTCCAAGAGAGCTGGTCTGGGATTTCTCTCTTTTCCTGGGAAAGAGAACAGCTCAGCAGGCAACTGTCTGTCTCTGTGGTCCTCCCTGGCCCTGGGAATAGCTGGAAGGGATCAACAGAGGTGGCTGGACTCAACTAGCTAATAAGCTGCCCACTAGTGTCCAGTCTGAGTCATCAGTTACTAAGGTGATATGCAAATCCAACCTTTGAAACCCAAGCTTCTAGCCTGAAGAAGAGTAAGAAACATGCTCCCTAAGAAGTTTTCTCCTAAGGCAGGTCTAAGGTAGAGCTGCTAGTCCAAGGCTGGGAGTGGGAGACAGGCAGGGCCTGATTCTCATCAGTAAAAATTGTGCTGGGGCCTGGAATAGGACACTGGGCCTCGGACGCTAGTGTTTTGTCCCTGGTGCCAAAATCACCACCCAAACTATCAGCACTGGAGGGGAAAGTGTCCTGGAGAGGTAAGAAGTAGAGGCCATGGGAGCAAAGGGACAGAGTGGGGGAGGCTGAGGAGGGCACAATGCACAGATTCTAGGGACAGGTGGGAAGCATGGGAGTTTATCTTCCCCAGTCTTAAAGCAGGAAAATAGAAAGCGGGGGGGGGAGGGAAGGAGGGAAGGAGGGAAGGAAGGAAGGAAGGAAGGAAGGAAGGAAGGAAGGAAGGAAGGAAGGAAGGAAGGAAGGAAGGAAGGAAAGAAAGAAAGAAGAGAGGAAGGGAAATCAAGTAGTAAGCACAGATATATTGGATTCTCGCCGTGGGATGCAGAACACCGTACAGTAACCACAGGCATCCACACGCCCAGCGACACCCCACCGCGCCCCCAGCCATCCCACATCCCAGCAGCGCAGCCCCAAAGACGCCGCTCTCTCCAGCACCAGACCAAGCCCCGCTCCGGGACGGCGGTGACCGAGATCGGCGCGGAGGAGCGGAGGGGAGGGGAGGGGAGGGGAGGGGAGGGGAGGGGAGGGGAGGGGAGGCAGGGGGGCAGGAGGGCGACCCCGACCCCCGGGGACGCGGAGCGGCCGCGTCGCCCGCCCCCGCCCCCGAGCCCGCCCCGAGCCCCGAGCCCCGCGCCCCGCGCCCCGCGCCCCGCGCCGCCCCCCACCCGCCGAGATGCTCTTACGTCCTCGTCGTCACCGTCGCTCCGCGCCTGGTACTGGAACCGGGGCCGGCCACCCGCGCCTCCGCCGCCGCCGCCGCCGCCGCCGCCGCCGCCGCCGCCGCCGCCTCCGCGCTCCCGGGAGGGCGCCGCCGCGGGCGCCGGGGCTCCGAGGGGCTTGGGCCCCGCGCCGTCCTCCTCCGGGCCCTGGCCGCCCAGGAGGTGGCTGGCCTCCGGGGGCGCCGGGAAGGAGCGCGAGGTGTTGATCTTGCCCGAGAACCTCTGGTACAGCGAAGCCATCGGTGCCCGCGCCCGCGCCCGCGCCCGCGCCGGCGGCCCCGGGGCGTCCTGCGCCTCGCCCGGCCCTCGCGGGCGCCCGCCCCCCACCCCCTCCGGGGGACACGGAAGCAGCCGCAGAAGCGCGAGGCCGGCGGCGGCCGCTCCCCCGCGCGCCACTCTCGAGTCGCCGCCGGGCGCCCGCCTGGCTCGGCTCCTCCGCCCCCTCCGCGGCGGCTCGGCGGAGCCGGGGTCGGGGCGCGCGCTCGCCCTCGCTCCTTTCCGCTTCTTTTCAACTCCTCGCCGCGGCCGCGGCCACCGCCACGCCACCGCCACGGCCACCGCCACGGCCACCGCCACCGCCACGGCCACGGCCGCCTCGTCAAAGGCACTGGAGGAAGGATCCCCCCCCCCGAGAAACATAAAGGGAGGGAAAATGCCTGGGCCCCGGGATTGGCACCACCTAGAGACCGGCGAGGAGCCAGCGCGGATCTCGGCTCCCCCCGCCCCCCCCCCCCCCCGGCCCCTCGCGCGGCTCCTCCTCTCCCTCCCCGCCGGCCCCTCGGCGCGGCCGGGTAATGGCGCCGGGGGCGGGGGGCGGGCGGGGGCTCGGGCTCGGGCGCGCGGAGGGTTTGGGGGGCCCTGGCGGAGGGGCCGAGCCCCGGGGCGCCCACCCTCGGCGCGGGGCTGCGCTCTGCGTCCACACGCCGGGCCCGCGCCCCCTCGCCCTCGGGCTCTCCCAGCGCCTCCGCCTGCCGGGCCTGGGGGCGCTGGGTGGGGCGAGGGACGGCGAGCGGCGGGGCTGGGAGGCGACGGCTCGGGCACGCCGCTCTCGGACGGGCCCCGCTTGCTTCCCAAACCAAGCTCGTCTCCGAAAACAGATTCCTTTACTTCGCCCGGGCTCAGACAGCGGGGGGGGGGGGGGGGGGCGAGCCCGGGGGGGCGGGGCGGGGGCGAGCCCGGGGCGGGGGGCGAGCCCGGGCGGGGGGGCGAGCCCGGGGCGGGGGGCGAGCCCGGGGCGGGGGGGCGAGCCCGGGGCGGGGGGCGAGCCCGGGCGGGGGGGCGAGCCCGGGGCGGGGGGCGAGCCCGGGGGGGCCTGCCGGACGGCTTCCAGCAACTCTGCGGAACGCTCCTCCCTGCACACCCCAAGCCCACTCGTGCACGTGGCGAACTCCATTTTCATTTTCGGTAAACAGAGGCAGAGGCTGAGGCTTTGGGGACGCCGGCAACTTCTCCAAAGCTTGCTCCGCCCCCTCAACCCCCGACAGAGCGCCAGGGACCGGGACGAACCACACCACAGAGGGCGCCGGGCTCCGGGTGCGCCCCCGCGCATCTTGCTGCAGTCAGACGTGCTCCAGCGCCCCCGTGTGGAAAGACACCTACATGCCCGGGCGCCCGCTCCTACTCCAGGCGCCGGCGGCGGCTCCTCTCCTCCCTCTCCTGGGGTAGATAGTCCAGATAGTCCCTTGGGCCTCCGGGGACCCCCGCCCCCCTCCTCCCCGAATCCGCTCCTCGGGCCTTCTTTAGGCTCTCGGGGGCTCCTCCTCCTCGTCCCGTCTCCACGTCCCTTTCCCTCCTGTTTGCAGACCCTCCAGGTCGGACAGATGCTTCAGCGGAGACCAGGACCTAAAACTGCGGAGGGAGGGGACGGGTGGAGGGCTCGCACCTGCCCTTTGTGCTGTTCTTCCGCACCGGTTCAGAGTGAGCACCTGCACCATCACATTCCTCCCGGCCTCGGCCGTGACCCTGCCCCAGCTAGGTTCCCATGGCCACTCAGCAGGCCATACTGCGGGCTCACCAGCCTTTGCTGGGTCTGAATCCAAGACGATCTCCCGGAGTCACTGCCAGAGCCCCGACTCTGAGAAGACCCCTGCCTGGTCCTGAAATGGCCTCTTCCCCCACGCAGTGTCCTTAACTGGGAGGGAGAAACGGGAGGCTGGCAAATAAGGCTCTTGGGAGAACGTACCTTCCAGTCCCTTCCACGCTCTCCCCAAGTCTCAGCCTAGTGGGTAGTCCTGTTTTAATTGACATGTATTACCAACTCCCATCTTCTGTCGAATCCACTTTTGGTTTCCCTCTAATATGAAGAAAAGTGTGATTGTTAAAGTACTTTAAAGACACGTTTCCTTTGTGCAACCATGAAAACAAGCAAAACCAACATCCCAATAGCTAAGAGGCTGCCTGAACCAGCAAAAGGCCTGCGCATAGGCAGCTGTCCCACCCACAGGCCTGGGGGTGTAGAGGGTTTCACCAGCCCCTCTTTACTTTGAAGACAGAGGCAGCAATTACAAGAGCCATAAAATGTGACTTTAAAAGTCATCACATTTAGATAAATAGGAAGCCTTGCTGTCATCCCCCCTCCCCCGCCCCAGCTGTGCTTTTGATGGGAGGAAGCTGCCTTTTTCAGCCTGACTTGAAAGGAAAGCTCAGGCTGCTCCCTGCAGCATCTATGTCCTGACATTTCGCTAAATATAGAAGCTGTTAGGGTCTTTCTTACATAATATATATGAAATTTATATTTTCATATACATATGAAATTTTTGTGTATATAGTCACACAAACTGTAAGAAACAGCATTACATATTCCTTGTACTAACATTTGACACAAAATACAGTATTTATATGGAAGTAGCTTCTGTATCATACCCCATGCTTCATAGACGTATGCCTATCAACAATAATCGGTTAAAACTGAGCTATGGAAGGCACACTGGGACCCCCACTTTCTTTAAGCTTTGATTGATTGACTGATTTCAGAGAGTGCAGGGGAGAAGCAGAAGGAGAGAGACAAGCTGACTCTGTGATGAGCATGGAGCCCAACCTGGGGCTTCATCCCAGGAGGCTGAGATCATGACCTGAGCCGAAGCCAAGAGTCAGATGTTCAACTGATTGAGCTACCCCAGATGCCCCTGTGTCCCTCATTTTTGAACGTCATTCACAGATCAGCTTGTGGGTATTCAAATCACAGTTTGGTCCGTGTTAGAAATCCTAACTAAATGATTTAGACAACACGATAAGCAAGTTTTACTTAAAATCATTTATAAAATGAAGAAACGATAAGACTCACAAACAAGTGGAGGACAAGTTGGAGTACACATTTGTGTTTGAGAGAACAAATTGAAAATTAAGCAGGAGAAATGGGGGGTGGGTGGGTGGGGGGGGGAGAGGTGCTCCAGGCGGAGTGACTGTTCTAGACTTTGAGTGTGAGTATGTGTATGCATGTTTGTACATACTTCACACATGGCTTAAGCATGTCTTTACAAATTGCAGTGTATTTTTTAATATACTGTCAGGACTTGGAAGTCCCAAATATAAGAGTCAGCCCGTCAGTGTGTTGGGCTGAGTGAGGAAATGCAGTCGCAGAAAATTGCAACTATGGCATTTTGTGTTTATGATACATAACTAATTCGCTTATTGCCTTCAAAAACCTTTTCAGATCCCCAGTTTCTTAAACAGGGGAAGAGGTTCTGAAGAGTAGCAGAACTTCCCAATGAGCATTTAAATATAGGTGCACCTGAGGACACAGGTCAGTAATATCCTCCGCTCACCAATCACCGAAGATCTTGAGTGTACTATATTGAAATAGATTCCCAGTTCTGCTTACTGGGTAAATATGGGAAACTATTTTTGAAAATGTTTCATGGATTATATCATATCAAGATATTAATTCCTCAATACTCCTTACACCCATGTCCACTGACTTATTTTTCCATCGAGTTGTGTATTATTTTTTCCCGTTTATTAAATAATAAAGGGGTGTGTGTTTATTTTCCCAGGAACCAATTTACAAAACAAATATGATTAGTCATTGGAATTAGGCAAATGCTGCAAAATATGGTGGGTAGTCATTTTTTAAATGACAATGAAAGGAACTTTGTCATCCACATGCCAGCTAAGCATTGTAAAAATATCAAAAGTATACTGAGTTCAGCAGGCTAAGCATGACTTTTATTAGCTAAGAGGTTTTTTTTTTTATTTCTAGGAGAGAATTATATCATGTACTTTACTTCCTCTTTCTCTGTGAGGGAAAGGACGAGAGCAAAGCCCTATTTATGATTTTTATTCATTCCAAATGCTGAGACGTGAGAGATGAAATAACCAGCGGCATGTGCTGATGAAAGAGCCTTCCCTAAGACACTGGGCACCAGCATCTTCTAGGTATTATCACCTTGTACTCATACCAAGGGGGAGAAATAAAACAAATATTTGGGTAGTTTGAGAAAATATGGCGTTAAATGCATAAATACAAAGCCTATGCCCAACTAAACTCTCTCTACATACCTATCTTTAAAAACAATTTTTTTTTTTTGCAAGATGCCTACCCACAAGGGGAGCTGGCTAGCATGATTTCTTTACAAACTTTACAAACAGGAAAGGTCCAGCACAAGAAAAATGGGGCAGCCCCGGTGGCGCAGTGGTTTAGTGCCGCCTGCAGCCCAGGGCGTGATCCTGGAGACCCCCGGATGGAGTCCCACGTCAGGCTCTCTGTATGGTGCCTGCTTCTCCCTCTGCCTGTGCCTCTGTCTCTATGAATAATAAAAAAAAAAATCTTTAAAAAAATAATAAGAAAAAAGAAAAATGAGTTGCGTGGTCTTAGCTTTTGAAAAACACGAAATTAAAGTTAATTTGAGCTTTTTGAATTGATACATGACAAGTAATGTTTTAAAGGGAAACATTTACTTTAACCCTAAAATTAATAAAGTTCACTGTTAGCTCCCCATGGCATTTTTATTTACATCTTAATACAGCCATTGTGCAACTGTGTGTTTCGTAGGCATCAGCGCTAACACCTACTACAGACGACTAACCCCCTCGCCCTGTGCCCACAAACACACACAGTCAATCAACACAAGCAACCAAGCTGATTGTCACGTCGGTACAACAGCCACTGATTTAGCTAAAAAGCTGGATGGGGTCAACCCACAGAAAATATTTGTTCCAGCCTGGTGGTGGAGGGGGAGGCTGTCCCTCCACCCTCTGTTCCTTTAGAGGTGCTCCCTCTTGCCTCTAACATCTGCCCACTG